CTATTCTGCAAACAGAGGAGTCCGTTATGTCTGCAAAAGGAAACAGAACTCTTGGCATAGTCAATGGAACCGAGAGTTACCACACAATAAAAGAGTCATTCCAGAGTATATTCAATGAGGTAAATGACTTGACTGCCACAGGTAAAATGAATGTGGATGGCCAAGAGGTTAAAACTGAATTCTATCTTGGTGATGATTATAAATTTATTTTACTAATGCTTGGACTCAAGGGGGCAACATCCAATTATGCTTGTGCCTCAAAACACACAAAAATTATCGCTGGAGAATCAACAATGACTTCACAAGTTACAACACTCCCCCCTCAGCAAGAACAGTGAAAGAAATTTCTGAAATGTCTAAAAAATCTAGAGAAAATTACTGTTGTGATAAACAACCTATATTAAATATCTCACTGGATCATATAGTGATAGACGAGCTGCACTTAATGCTGAGAATCACAGATATTTTGATTGGAAAATCTAGTACAGGAGTGCCCAGACTGGAATAAAGATGATGACTTAGACCATAAAAAGGGGGCAGCAACAGGGTTATATCTAAAAAGCCTTATTAGGGTAATAAAATCTTGTGGTGTTTCTTTTGATGTGTGGGAACAAAGAAATGCTGACGGGAAAGGTAGCGGGAAACATGACTGGACAAGTCTCCTAGGAAAGACAAAAAGAGCATTCCACTCCAGTGCAGCTCTGTGTGGTTCACTTTGTATGACATCCAAAAAACAGAACTTCAGGCATTCGCGGTGTATAATATTATAATCGTAATACAAACCAGAATCTCTCAAGTCTTTAAAAAAGTAATCCACCCTTCTGCACATCCTTGCTTTAAACGTTCCCATCATGCTTCAATTCTTTGGTTTGCCGTAGATTTCCCATACATACATGAAACTTTTATCACTTGGAAAAGTAGTCATTCATGAACCGCCGAAAGAAGTGCTGAATAGCTGCTAAGTTCCCGTTCTCAGATCCCCTATCTCCACGCAATCCTTGCTGTACCTCCTAACTGTCTTGTGTAGTCTAAGAAATATTGAGCTACTATACGAGGATCGTTGTTTGAAGATGCAACCTCCAGCCATAGGATCCTTCGACTAAAGCCATCAATTGCACCATGAATGAAGAATCCAAACGGTTATAGTTTGTCGTAGCCGTCAATGTGCCATAAGTAATTTGACCCTTTACACCTGTAAATTCGTCGCCGTAAATATCCCTTTCCAACAACGCGTGGTGTTTCTCTGTACTTCAAAATATTATGGAGCAGTGCTAGTCACGTGAAGACTCGCATGACCATCGTAATCTATGCTGTGACCTAGGCTCCACCCCTTCAGGATCAAAAACCCTCAAAACATGTTGAACGACTTCCCGCGTAGTAACAAGATCGTGCTGATTGATGAGTCTTTGATGCATCGCTCGATATCCGAGAAGGCTTCCACTCCCCCCTCAGTTCCTCCTCGATTGCTTCTACCACCTCATTCAAATTACTTCGACGCCGACGTCTTGTACATCCCAACCATCTGAGTATTCTATTAAATTGTCGTAACGAGATCCCGATACCATGTACACTCACGAGAAATAATGCGATTTCTGGTGCAGTAAGATGATTCTCCCTTAGCTCCGGTTGGAGCATAGGCCATTAACCACTTCCGTCCT